GCCATTTACTGATCTCCTTCAGGGGGTGCCTGTTTTTCTCCCTCCCTCATTACAAATATCTTCCCGCCATGCTCTTAACATTGTGCAGTTCTTGTCTTTCAAGCCATGGCCACCGACAGCACAGCCACTGGCTCATTCTTGTCATTGATTAACCTCACCTAGCCGGCCCAGCCTCTCCGCATGGTGAGGAGAGTGCTCTGCTGCCTGCCGAAATTGGGCAGGCTGGGGGATGGGGATGGGCGGCATGGTGCAGGCAACATGGACTCTCATGCCGCGACCCTTCACTAGCCGCGTTTCTTACCTGTTTGTTGCTGCCACCCATGTACACATCTGGCCTGTTTTTTATCCTCTCCTCTCTCGTCCCCCCTTCTTCTTTTACCTTCAGTGCAGCTCCAGCTGACTCTTCCTCCTCTTCCCAAGGCTGCGTCTTTTTTTTCTCTCCCTCTCCCACCCAAATTGCCACCTTTTATATCCCTTCCTGTCTCCGCCCCCTCCTCCTCCTTTCTCTTCCGGGTGTGTTGGAAGTGCCGATCCTGGGGTCTTTGCCTCGCCCCAGCAGCCCTGTAGCTCCTGAAGACTCACTCATCACAAGTCCTGTGCTGCACCACTTTGGCTCTTTCCGCCCCCTGCTTCCCTGGGCATACCACCTGCTATGTGCCAATGTACCACAGGTGATACATGTACCACTGGTTGAAAAGCCATGGGTTGTATGGCAATGTTTTCCCAAGTTGTGGATTAATTGTATAGCATGCATTCAGTGCATGGGATAGATCAAGCTGTTTCCCTATCTCAATCCACCCCAATACCCCTAAAAAACCCAGATGATCAATGTTTACAGTCCAGATGTAGGCAGTTTATATCTATTTATTTATATTCCACCTTTATTATTTTTACAAATAACTCAAGATAATGAACATATTCAACACATTTTTCTATTCCTATTTTCCCCATTAACAACAATCCTGTGAGGTGAGTTGGGCTGAGAAGGAATTATTGGCTCAGAGTCATCCAATTGGTCTTCATGGCTAAGGTGGGTCTCCAGTTTTTTTATCCTGATACCTTCACCACTAGACTGAACTGGCTCATTTATTTGATTCCAGATGTTGTATGACAGTCAGTTATTCCTTCTTCCCCCAACTACTGTAGACAACCAGGGCTTTTTTTCTCATAGAACGCCCAGAACGGAGTTCCGGCACCTTTTTTGGATGGAACCTTGTAGAGTAGGCAAGGCAGGTTGTATGACGTATGTGAGTTCCGGCACCTTTTTTTTTTTTTTTTAACAAAAAAAGCACTGTAGACCAGTGGTTCTTAACCTTTTTGAACGAATCGCTCCCTTGAGCCAATGAGGAAGTTGTCATCGCCCCCCTCCCCCAACATAACCTGTCAATCACAACATAGGAAATAATTCTTCAATTTATGCAAACACTTTTTTTGTTTTCTTTAAAATTGTCATCAGGACATATCGATGCAAATAATTTATTTCTAGTCTTTTTCCCATAACTCAACTGTGTGAAAAATTTTGGTGCCACCCGTCACTTTATTCCCAAACTTCGTGATACATGTATTTCATTATTATCTTAAATGTAATGACCACTGAAAACAAAATTCAATTGCAAGAAAGTGAAATGCCTGAAAAGAAAAACAGTAACATTTAGTGATTGAATTACAAGTGAAATTTAAGACGCAAAAAGAAATATAAAAAGGGCATAAGAACAAACTGCAATGCAGGAACTAAGAATTTCAAGACGAAAACTCTGAAACTAAATTAAGATTCGAGGAAAGTATATATAGTCACACACACTGTAAAAAGGATTAAAAAGACACAAAGAAAATATGTCGAACTGGAGTGCGTGCTAAAAAAGTACAATACAAAGAGACACAAAAAATGTTTTACAGAGCACAACAAAAATTCGAAAAAGAAGCTGAAAACTCAAACTGGAACGTGAAATCCAATGCAAGCAAATACAACGATAAAAGCTCAGACAATTATTAACGAAAAAAATCTATGTACACAAAAAGCAAAAAAAAGGAACATCGATGGCTGCCTTATGCTTGGTGAGCTGATGCCAATTTCTTGATGTCTGGAACCATTTTTGTTAATCACATTCTTAAATCACCTGCAAATTAAATTTTTGACTGCACTGGAACACTAGAAAAACACACGTGGACATCAATAAACCTAGTTTCAACAGTTACGTTGACATTACAGCTGACATCACAGGGGACAGCTGGTCAGCATGTGATGTTTCAAAAGAAGCGCTCCCCCCTCTATCACTGCCCATTCTGGCCAATGGCGCGCCACTATATGGGTAGAGACTGCTGCGCAATGCGCATGAAGATAAGCAATGCGTATTCACATATGTACGGCATTCTGTACTGAAGCTAGCTGGAGGAACATTTGAAAACACAATTCAATCCACTAATAGTGATCTGATGTTTTTGTACGACAGATATACAGCGATTCACTGTACGAAAAAGTCTCAAAAGTGTCCCCAAAACATCTCGCTCCATCGCCCCCATATTGCCCCCTTTTCGTTCCTTTGCCCCATGTCACCCCTTTTCGTTCCATCGCCCCCCTGAAAAACAAAATTGCCCCTTGGGGGGCAATATCGCCCAGGTTAAGAACCACTGCTGTAGACAACTAAAACATTACATAATTTACTGATGCTTTCACAACCCTGTTGAGCAGCTTTGGGCTTTAGGTTTTGGTGACCTTGAACACAGATTTCCTGACATTCTGCCAGTAATGGTATGTTCAGAGGTAAAGCAGTCTGCTATATAGACCTGAAATAGTTGAGGAGGGACTGACTGGATTCTTGTTTTTATAAGGTATCCTTACTTCTAATGCAGCGGTTCTCAACCTATAGGTCGTGACCCCATTTGGGGTCGATCGACCATTTTACGGGGGTCGCCAAACAATGCGATCCGCCATTTTCCCCCCTCAGGGGGCGCCGCCGCGCATGCGCACCACACGTGGGAGCATCGCCGCGCATGCACACCGTGCGTGCGGGCGCCGCCGCACATGCACGCTGTGCGTGGGGGCGCCGCCGCACATGGGGGGCACGCATGTGCGGCACATTTGTGTGACGGGGGTCGCCGTCACACAAACATTGAGAAACGCTGTTCTAATGTGTCTTTAGCTGAGCTAAAAAACCAGCCCTCCTCAACCTACACCAATTGCAATCCAGCTCTTAGGACCACTGTACATCAATGAATAAAGAAATCAGTCCAAACCCTCTTTAATTCTCAGCCTCAGCAGAAATGTATAACTGCTTTCAGATTTCACCTTTTTGTTTAAGTTGGTATAAATCAAGGGTGTCAAACTTCCAGCACATGGGCCAGATGTGTCATGCCAAAACCGTGCCCACCCCATTGCCAGCAATGGAAAAAAAGTCATGATACGTCACAACATGTCATGTGACGTTGAAAGTTTGACATCCCTGGTATAAACTGAGGTCCTTGCCCAAATATGGCCACTGAATGTGACTTTTCAGAAACAAATGTAGAAAGTGAGCAACTTTATAACACTCTACGGAACATTTTGGAGATATAAAGTGGGAATCTTCCCCTTGTCCTTTATACAACCTTCCCCTCCAAGTTGATGAACAAAGTTCTATAGCCTCAATATGATTGCAAAACCCCTTTTTCCAAAATAAGACAACTATTATCACAACTGATCAACTATTTCTCCCTAAGGATAACAGAGCACATCCTGATAGAGTTATTTATCTAACATGATTTAAGACTACATTTAACAACAGTTGGGGTTCTGGTCATTCCGTTGTCTTAGTTAAATACGTAGTCACCCTCCTAATAGCACTACAACATTTTCAGACTTGATTTTTCTGTCATCTAGAGACTTTTTTAGATTGTGTTCCTGTTTGATGTCAGAGAAGAGCATCCAGCATAATATAATGCATATGCTGTATAAAAGAATAAAGTGTGTATGTAAGGAATAGAGGCATAGTTAATGAGATTTGGACTAATGTTTTGTCTACTAAATTGAGGAAATGTCAAATTTAAAATACTGGTATAAACTATCTAATCAAGTATAGATGGATGCAAATTTACTGGTTAAATGTCAGAATTGTTTAAAAATGAACTGCCTTCCAATTTCTTCATACAAAAATTCAGCTAACATGGTCTTGAAAATGCAAGATGGTATGAAATAAATTTGGTCCTTTAATCCATTTTCCTGCTTAAGTTTTCTTTACTTGCTTCTTCTATCACAAAATTAAGTTGCAGTTTATTTGTTTAATGCATTTTTATTTTGTTTTAGCATAGATCTGAACAGGAGCTTTTATAATGAACTTATGTTCTTCAACTTTAAGTATTCTGAGAAGAAACAGAAAGCACCTCAAAATAACTAATATTTGGAACAATCTGAACATCTCACTGCCTGGCATTTCCTTCTAAGTACAAAGTCACAGGTTGCAATTTTATCAAAGTGTTGCATTCCAGGGTTTAATTCAATTCACAGTTAATCCAGTATTCAAATAAATGATTAAAGAAAAAACCAGGATCTTTCTCCAGTATTAGCAGCCTATTACTGAGCAGTGACGAGCTGTTTGTTTAGCCCAGGAGATAATGTTTCTAGACTCTTTTTTACCAATTACACTTTTCGGAATTACCAGCATAAGCTGATTAACCACCGGAGAACTCTTTCAAGTCCAAGAAGCTTCGGTAACCTGCCAAATGCCAAAAGCTCTTGGACGCATCAGCTGGAAAAGCACGTGACAACCTCCTGTTTCTATCTGCGCCTGACCTGTCGAAATCCCTGTCTCCTGTCGTCCCTGTAAATCGAGGCTCCGCCAGTCAAATCCTCCTCCATCCACGAGCGCACGGAAGCGCTCGCATATCTAGCATAGAAGGCCACTTAATGTGCAAATCACGCCGTGTGCAGAGGCCAGAGGGATGAGGCACTCTTGAGGGACAGTCAGTCAGATGCAGCCTGGACTCACAAGGCCAAAGGTTTGTATGTATATGCAAGGACGGGAAGGGGCAATTGAGCTTCCAAAGTTCGGCCTAAGGCTACTCTTAGCCTCTGCAGCCGGTTAGTCCAGCGCCAACAGCGCAGACAATCTCAGCCCGAGCGCAGAGGCCCCGCCTCCGCTGTGCTTTGGGGCGGTCCCGGCCATTGCTCCCCCGCGCCGCCCCTAAACTCAACAACTCGCGCGTGTAACAAGTCGGTCTGTGGCATAGCTGCTGGCTCTAGAAGCTGGTTGTCTGGGGCATTCTCCTTCTCCGCAAGAGGAGGACGGCTTCGAGCCCTCCAAGGGCGATCGCAGACAAGCCCATTGCCGGAGTGAGAGTGGAGGAAAGCAGAAACACCCGCCGACCTTGCGGGGGAAGAGCACAGCGAAAACCCAAGGCGAGCGAGGTGTTGAGTCTCTTCCTCTTCTCCCGCCTTCTTGGCTTTGCAAAAGGCGGCGAGGTTGAGAAATCCACCGGCGGAGGTCGGAAAGGAAAAGCCCCACGGGAGGGGCGGGGGCGACAAGCTGCTAGAAAAGGAACTGCGTTGCTTCTCGGAGCTCGGATGCTCCCCGGCGAGATGCCCCTGTAGGACCGCAGCGCTGCAGAGGCTCTGGAGAGATTCGGTCGAGTGGAAGGTGCGGTTCCTTCAAATGTGGGGCGCTTCGCCTGCCCGTCGGAAACAAGGGGGACGAGAAAGTCTCTCTTCCATTCAAGGGGGAAGGGGAAAAAAAGGAGGCAGGCTTATTGGCCCGCAGCTTTTGTTGCTGGCCTTTCATCGTGCGAGGGTGGCTGTATGTGCGTGTGTTTAGAGTATTTTTAACTTTCCCCACGGCTTGGCTGCTGAAGTACCTTCGGAAGCCAGCGATTACTCCAGCCTCGCAATTCTGATTTTAAGCAGTGTTTACTATCTCACCCTCCCGCGATGTTGCCAGGGTTTTCTGAAAGGCGCTTTGCCGTTTGTCCTTTTTCTTCAGAACCTCTCTGCAGAACTGTCATTTTAACCTGAAGGCCTTGCAAGCCGTCTCTGCCTGGAAGTTGCTTGTTCTGTTTAAGCTGGAAAAGAAGCCACTTTGATTTGGGATCATTGCAAAATAAAAGAACGATGGGGGGTAACCTTGGCTGCCATCGTTCCATTCCTCGAGACCCTTCGGATCTTTGCCATAGCCGTAAATTCAGCGCAGCGTGCAATTTCAGCAACATCCTTGTGAACCAGGAGAGGCTGAATATTAACACAGCCACAGAGGAGGAGCTCATGACTCTTCCTGGGGTCACCAGGATTGTAGCCCAAAATATTGTGGAATATCGTGAGTATATTGGTGGCTTCAAGAAAGTTGAAGACTTGGCCTTGGTGAGTGGAGTTGGGGCTGCCAAGCTGGAGCAGGTGAAGTTTGAGATCTGTGTGAGCAGCAAAGGAAATTCTGCACAGCACTCTCCCAGCTCTTTAAGAAAAGACCACAATCTGGATCACCTTTCAGCTACTAAAATCAACATTAACACAGCCACCTCTGCTCAGCTCATGAGCATCCGTGGTATCACAGAAAAGATTGCCAACAGTATTGTAGAATACCGCAAAGAGCATGGGCCCTTTAAAAGTATTGAGGACTTGGTCAAGATGGACTGTATCAACTCTTCATTCTTGGACAAAATCCGACATCAAATCTTTGCAGAACGGTCAAGACCCCCTTCCACAAATACTAATGGTGGCCTTAATTTCATTGTCAAGCCTCACCCAAGCCCCACATCCCTGAGCCTCCAGAGTGAGGATTTGGACTTTCCTCCTGGAGGGCCAACACAGATGATCTCCACAAGACCCTCAGTGGAAATGTTTGGTGGGGTGCGGGATGGCCGACCTGTGCTGAGGGTGGCTACTTGGAATCTGCAAAACTGTTCTGTTGAAAAAGCCAACAATCCTGGTGTGCGAGAAGTTGTTTGCATGACTCTCTTGGAGAACAGGTATGACACAAGGTCCAGAAATATTGATTTTGTTTGTTTGTTTGTTTGTTTCTCTTCTGCTGCTTCTTTAGATCCTACATGACCATCCTAATAGTAAAAGAGTGCCCAGCATTTTATTGTATTGATGTGTGTGTGTGTATAAAATTATTCATTGGGCCTGAAAGCCAGTTTGGCATCAAGTTAGAAATTGGGAGACTGTGAGTTCTAATCCCTCTTTAGGCACAAAGCTAGCTGAATAACCTTGGGCCGGTCCCTTTCTCTCAGCCCTAGGAAGGGGGCAGTGGCAAACCACTTCTAAAAAACTTTGTCAAGCAACTTCAGTGACCTGTTAGGTATACATCATGAATCGGACATGATTAAATGGCAAAAAAATAAAATAAAATTCAGTGTGATGATTCATGGCTTACTTATGAATTTACCAAGTCATTATATTTCTTAGCGTGATGATTTTATGGCTGGCACTATAGTTTTATTGTTTTGGTAACAAAGTGATAGGAAATCATACCGTCAATTTTCAACAACTGTGATCTGATATGGTTCTGGAGTTCAGGGCACACATGTAGCCCTGGAGCTCAGATGGCCTACTCTAGGATTAAGCAAACAAAATATAAATGAGGAGATGAATTCAATCCCTTTTAATCTGTAAACCACATATAAAAGTTTCAAGTTTACATACAGCCACCGTGTAATGTACAACTCACTAAACAGTTGCTTCATGACATTTTGTCTACGTTAATAATTTATTCTAAACAATAAATATATTTGTTTTGGCTTACTGTGTAAAGCCAGACATTAACTCTGTCAATTTATCATGCAGCCTAGGCTTTCAACCTGTTGGTATAATGTAAACAATTGTGAAAATATGCAAGATTTTATTTAGTGAATTGCTTAATGGACCTATATCCCATTAATGCAATAGCTATGTAGATAAAGAGGACCATTTCTTTGTGCATTTTACAGGAGTAGCTTTTGATAGTTTTAATTGCTCCTGGCATAAATTCCAGAGTATTGTAGGTAGTTTTAGATGATATTCAGACTATTGTAGTTCATATTTCTATATTTTCCTCCCTTCGCTTTGTATTTTAAATGGCTTTTTTCCAGATTATCTTTCTTAATTTTTTAGCTTGTATTTATTTTTGATCTGTAGATTGCAGTTTGAAACAGAGTGCCACAAACTTAAAGCTGGTTTATTTTTTTATATATTGATTTTAATTGGTAATCAAAAACTCTCATATTCTGACTGCTTCATAGATATGTTAATGCAGTTATTCTTGGCAACAATATCAAAATGGGATTCTTTTCCTTTTCTTTTTCCTTTCCTTTTCCCCTTTCCTGTCCTATTTATATGCCTGGTATTTCCTGATAGCTTCCATCAAATATTTGCCAAATCTGACTTAGTTTAACTTTTTGAGATTAACCAAGTTGACTCAGCATGACTTTGTCCTGCAGTAGTAGCATATAATAACAAAATGTGGTAATGCCAGCTTAAAGAATACTTAGTGTCCCTGGAAGTTCAGTTCCCTGTATTATTTTTATTTCATCTTTTATTATTGCAAAGATGCATGGTTGGATCAATAGTATTTGAGGAGATGAGAGGAGGTTGAAATACTACCACACCTTAGCACTTAAAATGGATTATGACTTTTAGTGTGACTGGAGCACTGTTCTAAGGTCAGCTTGAATATGAGTTATTAGGGGTTGTGACATAACAGATGTATTGTGGAGTGCAAAGTTTATAGGCTTCTTCATCTTGATAAATTTAAGGATGGACTTAATATGATAACCACCTTGAGAAACCTCTACAAAGAATACACTCATTTAGGTATTTTGGATCTAGATAAAAAACCTTATGCAATAGCATTTTTGTTTGCATTTTAGCACTCCATAGTACCATAGTCAGTTGATTTTGCTGGTGTAAAAGAATATAGAATAAAGAATAACAGAGTTGGAACTGACTTTGGAGATGTTCTAGTCCAACACCCTGCTCAGGCAGGAAATCCTATGTCATTTCAGACAAATCGTTGTCCCATAGCTTCTTAAAAACTTCCAGTGTTGTAGCATTCACAACTTCTGGAGACAAGTTATTCTACTGGTTAATTGTTCTAACTTCTAACTGTCAGGAAATTTCTCCTAAATTCTAGGTTACTTCTCCCTTCGGTTAGTTTCCATCCATTGCTTCTTGTCCTGGCTTCAAGTGCTTTGGAGAATAGCTTGACTCCCTCTTTTTTGTGGCACCCCCTGAGATATTGGAACACTGCTATCATGTCACCCCAGTCGTTCTCTTCATTAAACTAGACATACTCAATTCCAGCAACCGTTCCTTATATGTTTTAGCCTCCAGTCCCCTGATCATCTTTGTTGCTCTTCTCTGCACTCTTTCTAGATCTAGAAGCTCAACATCTTTTTATATTGTGGTGACTAAAACTGGATGCAGTATTCCAAGTATGGCTTTACTAAGGCATTATAAAGTGGTATTAACATTTCACGGGATCTTGATTCTATCCCTCTGTTAAAAACTACATACAATTACATTTGCTTGTAATGCCAGCATATTCCATTGTTTGTAGCACAAATAATGATGTGCATGATGTATATACATATTCATGCTTAAGTCAGTCTTAAGGATGCATCTACACAAATAGAATTTAAATCCACTTAGCCACATTCTAGTTCACCTATTTTAGGACAAAAAAAATCAGAGTTGGAATGATCAATATTGCTAAATAAAATATGATTCTCAGGAAGGGAAACAAGTCTGACAGGCATTGCTTTGATTATTAACAATGGTAAAATAATTTGTCTTAGTCTTTAAAAATGTTTATCAGATTCAATGCTACAAAAATGCAGGGTTGTTGTAACTTATTGCTGTTCCAGTTTCCATTTGGAAAAAATATGAAGAAAGAGTTTTATGGAATATATGAGTAGCAGTATTCTTTAATGGACCAATAGTTTGCATATATTTATATATATAAAGTATGCTTGCTGTGCTTATACTTGCTCGGTAATATGAACTTGGCAAATACAATAGTTCTTATTCATATGTCAGCAGTTCAGAGATTGAACTGCCTTTAGTGTACCATATTGTAGTTTTTTACAAATTCCAAGTATGATGGAAGAGTGACAAATGCCTCTGGGTTGAGCAATTTGTGCTTTTGAAACTGAACCCTTTCCTGCAATTCTCTTTCGCAACATCATTAACATGTAATCAAAACATGTGCATTTTGCAGGACGCATATATAGCTTTGTGAATTTTCATAGAAGCAAAAGAAACCATTTGTTTGTTTGTTTGTTTGTTTATAAAATTTATTTGCCGTCCATTTCGTATCCAGTGATGGCTGCCCTACTGTTGCTGATCTAGCTTAATAGCAAGTTCATTTGTTTTTCATTTATATACTTCATATTCCATTCTATTCTAAAGATGCTAAACAACTAAAATCAAATTTTAAAACCTGTAACATTAATAACAATGGCAATAATAGCAACAAATTCAAGAATTTTGTAATAATGATGCTTGTGCATTACCTTTAATCAGTGCTTTTTTTGTAAGAAAAAGGTGCTGGAACTCACATCTTGTTAATCATTTATTTATCTTTTGCATGTAGTCAATCACTCTACACATACCCACACATGTCAGTTGTGTAACGAAACATAATGGTCATCGCCCGCAGTAAGCACTCAGTACGCGATCACATGACCAATTACAAGCTGAACAGTGCCCCAAGCCAAGCAGCCGGATGAAGTACGCATGCATTGAACTTGACACACAAGCAGCCCACAATCACCATTTTAATGGTTTTGCTGTCGACCTGCTATGCTTGACACGGTGATTCAAATCCATGTGGACCAAACATAAAATTTTCAAAGGTTACTTTTAAAACTTGGAAAACCTGTCAAAAAAAGGTGCCGGAATTCTGTTCTGGTATGTTCTATGACAAAAAAAAGCACTACCGTATATTCTGGCGTATAAGGCGACAAGGCGTATAAGACAACCCCCAACTTCGGCGCCGAGTTGCATGCCTAGAAAGTTGTCTTATACGCCAGAAACTACCATTATTTCCGGCGTATAAGACGACTCGGCGTGTAAGATGACCCCCGACTTCAGTGGCAATTTTAACGCTTGCAAAAGTCATCTTATATGCCAGAAAGTAAGGTACCTGTAATCGTCAATTACTGTTAAAACAACAGAAATAGAATAGAACAGAACAGAAACAGAACAGAAATTTATTTGGCCAAGTGTGATTAGACACAAGGAATTTGTCTCTGGTGCAGAAGCTCTCAGTGTACATGCAAAGCAACAGAATCATCATCATCATCTCAATAAGGGTGGAAGGAATAAAAAGGATAATAAGATTTAGTTGATCTATGAAGTGATAGAAGAGTTGCAGCAGTTAAAGTTTCTGAGTAGTTTTTGTGGTCAGCTCTAAGTGGAATGTATTGCAGTAGTGGTCCCATTTTGTAGTAATGAGTGGGGTTGATTGTTGCTACACTTACCACTCCACAGATGGCTTACTTACCTATAATAGATAGAGAACCTCCTGGCCATGGACTCCACTTCCTTTTTGGCAAGAGCCATAAGTCTAGGAGAACTCTCAAATTGCAGGTTTATTTCTTCTAAGTGGAAAGCAGCCTGTTCCACAGCAGATGAAGCAGACAAAGATATACAAAGGAAATGTCTGATTATGAAATATGGTAACATTCAGGATCCTTGATTATGTAAAAAGTCCTTATATTCAGGCAAGCATAGTTGAATTTTCCTTTGGACATTGTTTCTCAGCATGTTTTTCAAAATGGTCTCATCTGAATAAGTTCAGTAATTGAATGTAAAAGGCCCAGTGTCTGTTATATAACCCTGACTATGTGCTATCAAATCAATGTTGATCTTAGTGACCAAGTAGGTAGATTTTTCTCCATGATGATTTATCCCTGGCCCAGTATTTCATGTCTTCAGTGCTATATCCATAGCTACTTTAACCATGTCTGTCCATCTTGCTATTGGCCAT